TTGACTCCATAAGTTAAAAGTTAATATGGAAAAAACATTAACTTTTAAACTGAGTTCATCTATTTTTTTATAAGTTTATGTAGATCACACAGCGAGTGACTGCGTTCCTTCTAGTTTCCAAAATATTATATTAAACAATTTTTGTGTACTTTTATTATGATGTACACTAGCTGCAATATAAATTTAAGGTCATTCAATATTATGCCTATCTAATCTTCTAAAATATATCTATACAAACAAATTGTTTTAACGAGAAAAATAACACATATTTTTGTATAATTATAGGATTGGAAAATGTTTATATTAATATTTACGCATAAAGCCATAAAAACGAAAACTTTCAAAATTGCTTTTACTTGAAGGATAATTTTTAAATCAACTGTCAGTTAAACTGGTTAAGTTCATAAGTTGATTAGAAAATTAATTAAATAGTTAAAAAATTACTTTTTAACTAGTTAATGACCACCTTTGCTAATAATATTATTACACATTGTGTGTTAGTGTTATCCATATAAATATGAAAACAGGTCCTGCGCTGCTCTGAGCTCTCTACAATAATTATACCTATTGAAGTTCGTATTGGTTGTTATTTTTATAATAAACAGTCTGACTCAACAAAAGATGCTCACCCCATTTTTCCTTTTAATAATGTAACTGTATAAATTCTGATTTTTGGAATTTTCAAATAAGTATAATAGGTATATATTCGAAGACAATTTTTTTAAATTCTGGAATTTTGTGTACACTACAAAGAGTTGTCCCGCGTGGTGACGCAAACTTCTGTTTTTCTAATGTGAACTATCTTTTTGCATTAAAATTATTTACTGGATTATTTTCTTGAAAATATCGATGGACCAGAATCAAAATTTAAACTAGCAGTTGAGTTATTTGACTTTATGTACTAATGGTCCCGAATATAATGGGTTTTGAAGATAAAACGAATGGTGATTAACATTAATCTATATGACCATTAATAATTTGTAAAAATTGTACAATTATAATAAATACTAGATAGCATACTACATTTATATTTTATTTTTGAAAAACCATTTTTCAAGATTATTATAATCATTAGAATAATCTTTTTAAATAGCTGGGAAACTATTTGCTCGAATTTTGAATTAGGAACATACAAAATGATCAATTAAATAATTTATACTAAAAAATGGTGGGGGGGGGGAGTGGTTACACTTCGTGTAAATCAGTACAAAAAAATAATTCAAGAATTTGAAAAAAATTTCTTAGAGTAAGCATATTTAAAAAATCCAAAAATCAGAATTCAAATAATTTTCCTATTAAAGAAAAAAATGGGGACGAGTATGCGAATATGCTCGGTGAATCGCTCTGTATAATAATATAATATACAGATGTTATACGTTTTTAGGATTGAATAATATTGCTATAAATAATATAAATATATTATTTATATTATAAATATAGTACTATTTATTATAAAAGTAAATGTTTAATTTATATTATTTATATAAACTAATTTTTTACTATTAACCCGTGTGGCCTTGTACACAATGTCTGTTCTGTGTTCAGCATATATAATGAGAACTCTGCAACTTATCGCATAACCTAATTATTATTACATACATTTCTGAATTGAAATTCGGTGAATCTTCAAAATGTATAGGTTGTTGAATTTCTATTTCCGTTTTTAAATTAATACGAACATTTGGGTTCAATTCAATTACGATTTAATTTAGTTTTTTTTTTTTGTGATTAGAAGGGTGGGAAAATAAGATAAATTTATAATCACTATTATAAAATCGATTATTATAGTATTTTTTAAATTATTTTCACAACTACATGATAATAATATGCATGTAACCATCATCAGCATAGTTTGTTTTATTTATATTTTGTATAAGACAACAATTCGTATAATAATTAACTCTCATTTAGGCGATTTCGGATTTATCGTATAAGTTTATACGTTAGAATAACATCACAAAATACCGGGCGGTCGATACGATTTATGTGAATATTAGGAATTGAAGACGATAAAAACACATTTTGTGCGCATACCTAAGTTTTTAATTTCAGGTCACGCTAAGCGAAGCGCGTTTTTTTAATATAATAATGTATACATTATGCATAATACGAATCTTAACGTCGCCTATTAAAATCTATATTATTATATTACTTGTTTACTATATATTATATTATTTTCAGTGGTAATTTAATCGCCACTGACAATAGGAGTTTCGTATGTATACCCATAATAAGTATCTCGCGGTTGAAAGTTATTTAAATTTTTTTTCTCTCTTAGAATTTAATAATATATACCATATCCGCAACGTTTTGATTAGTTGAATAGTAATAATTCCACTCTCAATGTTAACGTATACCTACCATTCGAACGTTTTAAGATTAGCGTATCGAATCTCGCGCGCGCTTTCAAATAATATTATACCTGCGTGTATATTATATTATTATATACACTACTTTAATATTGCGATCGTATTATTATAATATGAACAGTTAAAAAAAAAAAGTCACTTGGGAATGTTGTCCGCTTTTCAGTCGGTAACACGTTTTTATTTTTAAGATGTTCTCGATGATATTATATACGCGTATTATAATACATCGTGCGGGTCAAACGACGCAGAGTTGCATTGGCGAGTGCAGTTAATATTCGATATTAATTCAACTCCGAAATCATATCGACCAGATAGTCATGCAGAACTCATCGTTTGTTATAATGCTGTTGTATTAATAAAATATTCCAAAAACCGAAGGCAACCGGCGGAGAAAGAGAAATAGGTAATAGTAATAATATCAGATGTCGCCAGACATACTGATGGGACAAAAAAAAAGTTTACTGCCCAATTCAATATTATAACCGTTAACCGTTATCCGAAGATTACGCGTCGGTGGATGGTGCACTGGGGTGTAATAACGGTATAAGACACACATCAGTCACTTATATATTAAATACTATACATAAGTTACCTACATGGCTACACATTATTATAGTCGCAGAGTTGTTGCGTATAGGCATATATTTTATAGCATTCGTTTTTCGCATAAGGTGTCGAACACATTTTTAAAAATCATACCCACGCTGTATATTATACATGAGTACTGAAAAAAAAATTGTTCTCGCTCTATGAATATACAGTTCAATACTTCTATATTTAGCTCGGAATAATAAAATTAACTATAGTGTATTATATAAGCATCCCAGTCAAGTTCATTATTGTCACAGCCCGCCTCTAATTTGGGTATTATCTGTATTGAATTGAGTCCAATTATTGAATCGAATCCTACGAAAACTTTTGGATTGTCGGTATTGAGTACAAGACATATTTTTTAGTTCTTTGAGATGAATCTTTTCAGCCTATATAATATATTTAGGTCTAATGTACGCATAATATACAGACATGTATGTATAAAATATAATATGGACAAACAGTGTTTAAATATATGGATTTTGATATTTGTATGTAATGAAATACGAAAAAATAGTGAGCGAAAGCAAAGCGATTGGCTTCAAATGTGACTTAATTAATTGTCACTGTAATTATTGGACCGATGAAAGTTTTGCACCTGCTGAAATTTAATGGAATCACGCCAATGTATACATACATATCATTTACCGATAGACCGACGGTGGCCATAATGCGTATAATACAGCATACGCACATACCATTTATGCATACCACCTGCGCTGTATAGTCGCGTGGAATTTAAGGCCATATATTTGGCCGTTTCAAAGACGAAAACATCGAAAATCGTTCCATCATTACGCGCGTCCGATAAACGCTGTCATCCGTCTGCACAGACGCCGCTCGCCGTCGTCGTCACTAAAATAATATATATGGGTAGCCAGGTAGGTAGATAGGTACCTACACGTCAACCGCGGTTAGACTCGCGCTCCGGCCGCAAAGACCGCGGTGTAAAAACGTAACCACGTATACGGTTATGGACGTGTACGTATATGTATAATAATGATCGTTCTGAGTCGGACAAGAGCGCGCGCGTTACACCGACGCGACGGTGGCGGCGGCTGCTGTGTACACGGACAAACGCGCTGCGGCCGATTGCGGCGCTGTCGATGTCTTAATTTACGACGATACGCGTCGTCGGGGCCGCGTGATAAATTACACCGGATGGACGACGACGACGACGACGACGACGACGACGAAAAAACGAAAACGCAAAATAAAACGTGTACCCGAGCGACTAATGCCGCGACGAGGACAATCGCCGTGCCCCTTCTTCGCACATGAGTATAATATGTAGGTTTATATACGTAATAATATTTTGCGACTACATTATACTCTCGCAGGTCGTATACCTATACGCGCGTACACGTGTGTGTGTGTGTGTGTCCGGGGAAAACGAAGAAAAAAAACTTCTCGTCCTAAGATAAGGTCTCACTCGGCTATATATGGGCCGGGGCAAGTAGGTAGCTCGCGCGCGCCACCGTCGCTTATAAACACACGCGTGTACGCAATAATAATAATAATAATAATAATAATAATATAATAATAATAATATAATATATGATTTGTGCCATATACAGTGGCGACGACGACAATATCGGTAGCTCGACGTGAATATAGGCATATGCGATATAAGCACGCACTCACGCACACACATGTCCATATACATGTTATCGCGATAGGTGTGTGCGTGTGTTTAGTGTCTGGTCCTCGGATCCAGCTGTTAATTAATGCGTTTGTGTTTTATACTATATACCTGTAAGTATATAATCGAACGTGTTATAATGCGTTTATTATGTACATCGTGTATATACCTATGCGTTATATATATATATATTATATAGGTATAGCAGCTGTGACGGGCACGGGGACAGAGCCACGCGAAACAGCTTTAAATGTGGCGACGACGGAGAAGTATAAAACTCGTACTCGCTCTGTGTACGCGCGGGTACACCCCGACGTGTGTGCTGTGTGTGCGCGTGAAAGGAGGCGTACGACATGTATGTGTATAATATAATAATAATGGTAATATATAAAAAATAATATTATCCGCACACGCGCTCGTGCTCGTACAATTAAAACGTGTAACAACGCCTTTGCAGTCTCTGCAGCAGGTCTGCTCGGATAGCGCGTGTCGTTGGCATACCATGTCCGGTCCACCGACAGAAGGCGGCGGCAGACCGGAAACGGCTAGTCTCTGCGGCCAGCAGAAAAAGGCGAGTAGCTTTTCATTTTTTTTATTTCTCCCTCCCCCTCTCTCACTCACACACACACACACTCCATCTCTCTCTCCCTTTCTTAATACGCTTAAATTCCCAGGGGTACGAACATTTCAACTAGTGTGCGAACATAACAAAAAACAAACGTTAATACGGACATTCTGTATAAATATAGTATTACAATCAATTTTTTATTTGTCAATAGACACAATGTATTTAGGTACTACTTTGTTTCTTTTCTCTTTCACTATATAACTTCTCATCCATCTAAGCGATGGTCATAGTTTATAGGTCTATGATACGAACAAAATATATAAACCAATCTATTATATTATTTCTGAACTTTCAACCTGTTTAACCTGGAAACACTGTCGGCGTGACTTTCTGGCGTGCCCCGGCCATCTCTTTTATGAGTGTTATCAACATTACTCTATAGTATAGAGTTATAGACCAAATTTATTTATTTATTTATTTCGAACTAATAACACATTTTGAACAATAGAATATCTACAGGTATGAATAATATTGTTTTCGGTCCATTGACAATCGACATTCTAGTATTCGACTATCGTGCTTAAATGCTTTGTACATTTCCTCATTATTTTGGTTCTATACTGGTGACACCTTACAGGTATTTTGGTTTACGTTTTTTGATTTCAGAAATTGCCTATAGACTAGAAAACTAGGGCAACAGATCTACAGTATAAAGGTAACAGGTAAGCAATACAATTATTTGTTAGTATAAATTATAATGGTGAATATTATGCATGCATTGGTGTCTCGCTTTAACATCCATTTAGTTAAGACTGCAAATTCAAGGGCGTAGGAACTAGGGACTAGAAAACGACTACAAACACACTTAAACTGACAATGCTACAATACTTCAGGCATGTGAAAAAAACAGAAAATCGACAATTTCAAAACGCTATAACTTCTAAACTAATCCCGAATGACAATTTGTTATTGTATCATAGTTCCTAACTCGTTAAAATAAGTGTTAAAAAAAAATCAAAATTCATTATAGGTACAGTATGCTGGAACCCTTGCATGTATAAAACATCGGACACCGCAAACTTCATAATAGGCTAAACGAATTAGGAAAGCTCACTCTGGGAGCCTGCTAAATTCTCGGTCTCTCAATAAATTATAACTCCATGTACAATTTATGTACATTAACTACAGAAACACTGACAATAAATAAATACCTTAGTATCCACAATAGTAATTAACGGATGGACAAACACAATTGGGATATAAAGGGTTTTGATTATATATGCTTAGAAACTCAAAACTAAATGAAGATTTTTAGCGAGTGTTTAGAACATTAGAACCTTAAAGATTTCAATTATAAATTTAGGCTCTAAACTATAGATTCTTTACAATGTCTGAAAATCTTTGTCGACAAATTTCAAAAACATTTTTAATTTTTAAAATTTGCAGAAACTGTCATATTTTATGTGGTACAGAACCCAGTTTAAATAAATAAAGTGCCTATGTAATTAATTACCATACCTGCATCGATTTACTATTTAAATAATGATTATTATATGAGTTATTTGAACTTTTAATGCATTTAGTTATGACCTATCAAGTTCAACTTGGTATCGGAAATCACTATGATTTTAAAAAGTCAGTGGTCCAAAAACTAACTAGGTATATCGTGTTAGAAAAATTCTGTTATATTTGCTGTTGACATGTTTTTTTTTACTGCTGAATGTGCAATATGGTTGTTAGATTTTAGGTATGGTAAATTGGTAACCGCGTGGGAAGGACTGGAAATAACATTTTATTTGACGTAATGCATTTTTTTTTGTTATGAGTATAGTTATTTCCTTAAATATTCTGTTCCAACAAGAATCAAATTGCATTCAATCATGCAAAAGTATGGCTATAATGACTATCCAAATGAAGATCGTCAACGTTTGCGTGATTTACTACAGGCGTGGAAAATGGAGTTCGTACATCAGTTATTAGTTGGTAATAAATTTAAGCCATAATATGAAATATTTTTTTCTTTTATAATAAAATGAGTTATTTTCTTTTAGATCAATGCATCACCATGACAACATTAAAACTCATACAAAAAGATGATATTAATGAATTGATGTCAGATAAGTTTCCTATTGGTACAAAAGTTTTGTTTACTTATAAACTTCAAGAATGGCAAAAACGCAATCCACTCAGTTCTTCAGAATATTCTGATTTAAACGATGACACATTCGCTGACAATTTATCAGCTGTGTTAAGAATATTTAAATAAATAAACATTTGAATTATATAAAAAAAAGTTAAATTATTATAATTTCCACTGTGCAATGTAATTTTTATAATTTCTAAGATATTTAAATTATTATAAAAATGTTTTGTTTCATAAAATATTCAGTTTATTAATTACTTAAAAAAAATTTAAAAAATTTATAAATATAATTAACTATTGTCTTCAGACTTATTGTAATGACATAATACATAGTTATGTTTTATCATTATAATTAACCTTAAACGGTATATCTAATACAGCTTCTTAACATTCGTTCAATGTTGTGATGATTGCCGACAATAGTGTCGACACGACCGAACGTAGAGCTGTGAATTTGGGTGGCAGTATTGTGCTAAACAGTTCCCACCCGTTTCCGGTTTTTGAACGAAAAAAAAAAAAGCTGTGAATCCGGCGTTGTCGGCTAACGCGTGTACAGATGATAATGGCAACGCGAAAGGGGTTCCTCTTTATATATTATGTAAAATATGCGATAAATATAAGTAGGTAATATGTATTATTATTATTAAAATTATCGATGAATCCCAAAAAAAATAAATACCAAAAATGGCCGATTAAAAAAACTTTACAAGAATTACATTTGTATTGTTTGCACTAAAGATGACTATTATTTTATTATTATACTCTAACCAGGTGTAATATAATATCAAGTACATCTTACTGCAATTATGAATAACATTCTTAACAATTTTTTATTTATATTAATTTTTTACATACAACTATTACATCTTTATCAGCTACTTATTATAATACGTTATTATTGAGTCTTAGTCCAATCTTAAACTTTTATTCTTCTAGGAGATTTATTTTATAAAATATTTTATTTTTCTATTTTGCCATACTCACTGAAAAAATACTGTCGTGGTGGAGGAGAACATGGTCCCTTTGCCCTCCTGGCTACGCCACTGATTATACAAGTATACTTGACACATATTTCGGTAACAGACAGATTCAATGATGGATAGGTACCCACAATAAAATATCTATTCAGTCAACATTTAATTTCTATATTATATTATATTGACCTGCGTAGTAGTTATTTTATTATTTCGTGCCGAAAAGTAAACATTGCTGGGCCAGTAAATAGAGAATTTTTATATAATTTGCTTTGCACGGAATCCGATGTATGATATTTTGTTTTTTTTTCATCAAATTTATCCGTATTTCCATGTTAACCGCAGTCACTGCAGCACAATCGAATCACTATATAGTATATAGGCATTATAGTGGTTTTTGTGGTTAAATTATTTCTCGGTTGCAGTATTGTAAAAACTAAAATTACTATTTATTTATATTTTCAAAAAATTAAGCGCTCGGTTTTCCAATAGGTACCTATACAAGTATATTACATGGTATTGTGATTTTTTCATGATTTACTCGGTTGTTCAAAATATAATAGAGTCGAGAGAGGGTCGCGCTCGCTAAAATATTTAATAATATACCTACTTGCTGTGTAACGACGGTCGCGACGACGTTATAATGGGAAAAAACTCACGTACTTATATTATAATAGTACCAGTTTTTATGAAAACATATTTTACATACATAAAAATTAAATCGAGTAGGGAATGTTATTAATACATAGCTATGCGTATGTACCTACGTATAAGGGACGCGATATAAATCATAAACGCACTGCTATACGTGGGATGCCGTGACTAGAATTATATCATATATTTTCTTCGGGTGGGTACGGTGACGTTTACCTACCATTGAAATGCCAATAGCTATTAATCGATATATTTTGCTGCTGCACGGCGGCGAATACGCGTTTATTATTATTATTATTATTATTATTATTTGATCTATTTTCATATTTAACGACTTTTCGAGATCGTAGCTGGTGGTCTGCAAAAAAATAGTTGTTTGTAAAATTCCATTTAAACGATATATAGGTAGGTACATGCACTGTTTCCTTGACAGTTTCAATTATAAAAACAATATAATATACGTACGAACTGTACGGTACAACTAACTTTATTTATTTATTTATTCAATTTTAACTGGACAATAATTACCTATATACAGGGAAACGGCTTAAGTACAAAGTGTACTTGCCTATTATAATGACGTATTTTGTTGATATGATTCTTAAAAAACACGAATTTTGACATTTTTGGTTTATTTTTCAGCTATAGACATTGCCACATTACCTGGAGAGTGGAGATAACCGTTGGCAGTGACTACGCAATTGTCATAAATTTTGATATTTTTACAATATACATATGCACTTACATAATTATATATACCAAGAACCTAGAGGTACGTAAGACGTAATACAAAGAAGACTTTATAATATTATCGGTGTATGCTGCAGTATATGCATACATTTTCACAAATATCATGAATGTTGATAGATTAGTATTAATGTTTTACATTTTTAAATCACCGTAAAAAGTTCCAAAAATCGGTTTTTAAATAACTGCATTATTGAAGAAAAAAAGGAGGTGAGCATGCGCTTGGTTAATCACCTTATATACGTATATATATATATATAATATACACATTATGCTTGTACTATGTACCTGCATAGTATGTGTATGTATGTGTGTATACACACGACACATTTCTACGTATGTATGTACATAATTATGATTAGGTAAATACCGTTTTAGCTCTTAAATTGACACATTATAAATTAAAATAAATCCTTATGTGTGCGAGGTGGTTATAATATTATTATCATTGAACTAGGCCACAGCGGCTGTTACTCGTGTCTGGTGCACCTTCTTGTCGCACATATAATATATTATATTAAGTTATTATGTATGTATATATATATAATATATTATAGTAAATAGACGTGATATAGCTAGTTACAGGCACATATTATACTTTTATAGGTACCTAAAATACGATTGATACTTATAAAATTCGTAACACGCGTTTGCGATAAATCATAAAGGGAAATGAGTTTCAAAACGAATAGTTTGGAACTCGTCGTATCGTTCTTTTTTCTCCGTTGCGACCTGTTCCTCTTTGTATAATATTATTATAGTATAGATCTATAATCTATATATATATATATAGATAAATTAAATCATTTTTTTAAGACATTATTTATTTTCTTAATCGTGTCAACATGATATAAAATATGTCATTACAAGTTAAATAATAAAAATAATAATAGTCAGTAATAATTTAATTGTTGGTAAACCTATATTAAAATATATTAACTATACTTATTTAATATTTTACTGTTTATGGTGTAAAGAAAATGGTAAATACTTATAAATAATTTACACCATACGCAACATATTAATAATAATTAAAAAATACAAATTGGTAATAACTGTAGTCCTGTCTAACTTTAAGTTTTGAATTAGGGAATATGTCTTAAAAATTCATAGTATTTAAAGTTTTCGCTAGATGTTTAACCGCTATAGTGAGTTTAGCTCCATCGTGGAATCGTAATTTAAAGAGGTTAAATGCAATCCACGAAGTTGGCCCCACAAATTCAAAATTGCTAATAATGTTTTTTTTTATATTAGGAAGTCATTTTCTAGTATTTTTAATCACAAATTGGTAAGATTTTTATTTATTTTAATAAGTTAAAATCACGGCTAACTTCTTTGGACATAGCCATTTTGTGATTTACAAGTTTTTGACCCTGCCGGAATGTTGATGTTACTTATAACTTATAAGTATATAAATTGTGAGAACAAATTAAAAATGTCTAAGTTCTCCCCTCGCATTCCTTCAAAAACTTAATCGTGGTTTAAAGAACTTTATGGACTTCGGCCATGCAAAAATATTTTGCATAATTTATAAAGCTTTTTAAGCGAAAATTCAATATTTTTGATGGGATGAACCTTCTTTAATACATTTTAGTATAAAATCAAGTTAATCTTGCTTCATATATATGAGGCTTTTTGAACTTTGACCGAGCTCAAATGTTTTGTTCCGTGCAGTTTGTAAACAAAAAATCAAAAATTTGTTAGTTACTGCTTCCTTAAAGATAACACCAAAAACAGAAGTCAACAAAAAATTAAGTAATAAATAATAAATATAGATTTAAAAAATAGCTCTTTTGAGTTCCGGCTCAGTAAATAAAATAAAATAATGAAAATGTTAATAAAAATTGTTGAATTTGGGCCGTCAACTTCAGGGACCTATAATTATTTATAGAATAAGAGCGATTTTTCACGGTATCATACTGAATCCAGAAATATAATATTTTCTATCATCATCCCAAAGCTTAGAAATAACAAGGAAATGTAGTAATTAAACATAATATTCTGTAATGTGGAAGGTGTTAATTGTTCTGATATTTTCCGTGACAGTCAAAAAATAAATATTATTTTTTCATTATATAGCCAATTTAAAATAAAATACTATTAATTTCTTAACTGCGGTAGCCTTGCAACGTCGTGATTCCATAATCATTTCGGAGACTCGAACAGTCGCATACCTAGGTATACCTATCTAGTCCAGTCTTGCTCAGGATTTGAATACTTGTATTTAAATACTTTTATGATGCTTCAAATGCTTTCAAAATACTTTTGTCTTTTTACCGTCGTATTTCAATGAACAATGTGATTTTGTTTTGTATATTACAATTTATTAAAAATTGGTCTTCAAATAATATTATATAATACCTCAAAGAATTTTTAAGATTTCATTAAATAACGCAGATTACACAATACCTAAAATTCGTATCTACATTGCTAAAGTTGAAATAATAAAGGTAGTGACACCTGAAATTGTTTAACCAATTAAACGATGTATTGTTAATGCCTATTATGTAGGTGAGTTGACAAATGAAAACGCATCTGGACTCGTCAATATTGAAGATATTACATATGACTTTGCGTCAATAGATAGCTTTGAATGTATTATAAATTAGGGTGTACGATTGAAAATTCTAAAGTAAATTGAATAACAGTGACAGTCCACCATGCTGAAAAAATCATCTAAATTTAGACCTTTTTTCAAAGCAGAATGTTGAAATGAAAACCCATTTGGGCTCGTCAATATTGAAGATATTTGACTTTGCGTCAATAGATAGCTTTAAATCTACTGTAAATTATGGTGTTCAGTTGAAAATTCTAAATTAAATTGTCAAAATGTTAAGTAGAAAATTCTAAATTAAATTGAAAAAAAAACATAATACATATTTCGTGACAAACGTAAAAACATTTTTGTACACTACAAAAGAGTACTTGTAAAGCATTTTTTCAATTATTTTGAATACGTTTAAAATATATTTGTATTATTTTTTATTCAAATACTTTTGAAACACAGCAGTATTGAAAAAGACGTATTCTTAACAAAACTGCAGTAGGTACCTATATAACAATTTATTAATATAATTAATATAATAATATTCCTACTTTTGAATTCGAACGAATTTCCTAACCATAATATCATATCGCCAATCTTAGTTGTTGTCATTGTTGAATTCTCGTTCGATCGTAAACTAAACTACTCGTATTACAAAAAAAAAAAACTTAAAAAAAAATATGATTTATTTAATAAATTAAACACTTGTGAACTCAGACTAGGACGCGTGCCGCCCGAATGACCGTTAAATTATTATGTGTTACTAGGCATGTATAAATATATTATTGTATAGGCGCGTGGTGCTACAAAACATCGACTAAAATATTGTAATATTTCGTCACCCGTTATGATGATGATAGTATCGCAAAATGTGTAAAATATAAATTATACAGATTTCTTAATAATATAACGATTATGGTTTGATATCTACGTATTTTCTCTCACGATAAAAATACGCTTGGCTCATATGGTACTTAATAATAATTAAGTGGAAAATATCGAAAACACGAAGACGATAATAATAAGTAATAATATTGTGTTTTCGTTGTCGTTGTCGTCTAACATATATTATAATTATGTTCAAAAAATACGAAATTTTACACGAAAACATTAATATATGATATACGACTCACGATCGTGTGTATTTGTATGCGATAATTTCGTCAACTGTACTAATAAATAATATAATATATTATAGTATGTGGAAAAACATAAAATTTTTATTCGACCAATATATTATTATTATTACTATTATGCACGTTTATAATAATATAGCATATTTATATATATTCATTAGTGATGATATTTTATGGACATTAATTTTTTTTTTTAATAACATAAATACGCGTGTTTATTAAATTCTATACTTGGGTCGTAAAAAATAGGTTTACGCCATTGAAGTTATATACATTATTTGCACCGCAATAGTACACATTAGATTGGGCTGTAAATTATTTTACTATGTATAATTTATATATTATAATAATGCGTGATGTGTATTCGTGTAAAACTTGTTTAAAAAATGTCGGATAATATCTATAATTTTATTAGAATATATTATTATTGTGATGGTATACAAATGTGAAGAAAAAAGTATACATGTATAATATATTGTCGTCAAATACAGGAGTAGTACAATAATGATACTATATTATTATGTGAAAACACGCGATGGAGTAGCGATTTTTTGTATCTGGCTTATACTTTATACTCGGGTTTTGGGTTTATACAGTAAATATGTGAATTGTTTTAGATTCTGTGATACCGTTAACAAAGTGTTTTCGATTCTGGATGGAGCAATGAATGTATTGATTTACAATGATGTGTATTTGTGTGTGTGTTTTTTTTTACATGACATTTTCACTATATTTACATATTAGTATTTTCTATACAGCATTACATTTTCAAAATATTTTGTCCCATTTTGAGCTGTTTGTAGACATGACAAATTTTCTAAATTAATGTCAGAAAAAAATGTACGCCACATCAAAAACTTAAAAATTTGATAGGTACGAGGTTCTTCGTGAGTCTTTGTTAGTGGAAATGAAAAAAAAATGAATGTAAATCTACAAAAATATTTTATGAGAGTCTAAGGTTAGAATTTTGAATTAGAAATTCATAAGAATTTTTCTTTTTCTGTCTGAGATTTGAAAGTCTTTGAATGATTTTCTTATTCTGTTGTAATTTTTGTGTTATTTTAACACGTTTCGAGTTATTTACAGACATTTGAAATTTGAAAATTGTATAGTTTTTTTTCTATAAATGTCAATAAAAATGTATTCGTTGGGTCAAAACCCTTTAAACCATAATATAAGGATCCACATACTTTATATCACTCGCAGTGTAAAAGCATTAAACGTAGGTAAGGTACATAAGCATGATTTTTCGTTTATGCATTTAAACTTAAAATGTTGACAAAAAATTGAAGATTGAAAATTCACAAATAATCTTATAGTTTAAAATGTATTAAAATTTAAAATATATTTAATTTGTATAGCTAAGAATTGAAAATTTAAAACAAGGTTCTAAATAATATTATAATTGTTAAGTTGATATAATATGTATATAATTTATAACAAATTATTTGGCTCACTTCCCTATTGTTGAAATGAAATTGACTGCGGATAACACATATTTTGTAACGATAACTTGTCTTGTTTATTAGCTATATCTCTTATCTGACGTTTTTCATTTGTATTATTATTTATTGTACAATAACTGAATAACATCTCGTTTTATTTTTGTAATTTTATTGTTATAATAAATACATTGTTACAATTATAATATAATTTGGAATTATTTCCGTTTTATAAATGAATAAATAATAAATAATATAAAAAAATTGATTATTATAATTATAGTATATAACGTTTTTTAGGTATATCAATCGGAGTTGATCTCACAACAAAGCGAACAGGTCGCCAATTGTTTGTAATAGATGACTCAGCCAACGGAATCTCTAATTCGGTTGTTGGATCAACCTAAGTAATAATAAATCATCATTATTATATAAATATATATACTATAATAATATTATAACTTATAAGTATTAATATTATATTAATACCTTCAAAACAGATGCGAATTGCTTATGTTTTTTGAAAAGAGTTTCGTCTTTGGAAATCATCAAATCTCTTTTACGTTTCACCTATATATAATAACATAAAAATACAATAATCGAATATGAGGTATCATAATTAATTTTAATTATTTTATACGAACCTGTATAAGGTGATTTATTTGTGCTTCGACATTATCACAAATTTCCTCCATGGGTAGTATATTATTTTTTCCCGGTGGTGAAAACGGAAACATCGTAGCCATATAACCGATCTAAATAATAATATCAAAATGTATGTTAATGGTATTTTGCGTGGTTTATAATAATATGATCCGTAAACAGTGAATGATTACGCATACTTAGACAGGTATATGTGATTTTTATAAACTTTACTTTTACTGTCTATAGATTATAACTTATACGGAATAATAGTAAGAGAGGATTGATATTATAATAATAATATAATATATTCTAGCTAGATATCATATATAATATTATTATAAACAAAACGTATCGCTTAGGTACCTATTTAATTGCAGCCGATATTTTGTATAATATTATTGTGTCTTTGTGATTTAATGTATATATATATAATAATAATAATAAATATACGCAATGTATGATCCGATAAAATATGAGAATTTAAAAATGTTGTGACAGTTTATTCTGTTAAAGTTTAAAATTTAACAGGAATAATAGAGTGCCGGCGGTTTATCAACTTTTTAGTAATTTAATAATGTACTTCGTGTTATATGAATAAATTAATTATACGTACATCACGTTCAACTTGACAAATCGCTTCACTAGAGTCATCGTCGTCACGTATCTTTAACTTCTTAGTGAAATGATGCCTGATCTAAATAAAGTTATCAAATTTCAAAGATTAAAGGTATTTAGAAACCATAATATTATAATTATATAATGCGTGATTTATATAAAACGTGCCACAAACAGAGAAGAATGTAATGTAATATTTACATTTAATTATTTTTAAGGGATAGAACAATAAATTTAATGTCAGAGCGGAATCATTAAATTTTAAAATTATATAATAATAATAATAATATGTACAGTGAAACCTCTAAATACCGGATACTATCGGTCGCCGAAAATTTTTCCGCTGTTTACAGCAGGGCTTAGATTGTTGTAAGTTTGTAGTTGGTTCTCAAGAAAACGTCCGCAATTGGGAGGTGTCCGTTATGGAAGGTTTCACTGTATATAATATATAAGTATAATACGAATAATAGGTACTGAATTTTCATCTGTAGCTCTTTCTTCAAAAATCTCTTGTTCTTTAGAACCCGGAATAATTTTACCGAATATCAAAAAATTAAAAAATGTCTTAATTATAGACATAGTGTTTATTTAAATTAATACGTTTATAACGAATACCAAAAATGTAATGACTCGAAAAGATGGGTACAGATTTAATGTAATAAAATAAAATAACAATAAGAATGTTATTTTCCATGGTTACGCAAATGTGTATTTGGCCAGAATACTTTTGTGACTAAACAAACTCACATTAAGAAAAACTCGAATTATTGGTTATTGCAAATGTGTTAAAGGGACATTATTATTCACTACCAAACATTAGTATAGGGGAGGAAATTTGGAGGGAATCGCACGCATCTAATCAAAAATCATTTCTATGGATTTAAATAAGCAATTTCCCTCATAATTTTTTTTCCATACATAAATATATGTAGTGGTTATTTAAATCATTTTATGTACTTAGTTAACTTATATTATATTAATTATTTTAATTGTTTTCCGAAATGCGTAAACATTTGAGTACAATGACTCTAACATAATTATATATGGTGACTATGGGTATTAAGTATGAACGAAATAAAAAATTGAAAAAGGCGAATAATTTGCAGCACACAAATTATTTACCATATAACTACAAAAACTCATATTGCCTAAGAAATTAACACTAGATTTACTCAAAAAATAATCATTCAGAGGATTCAATAATAAACCACGCTTACTGTGTCAAAATTGAAATAAATTTGGACTTACGGCTAATAATAAATTTGCAATTAATATGTTATTACTTATTAGCAAAATTAAAAAAAACTACCTACATGTAAGGCTTCACCTTTAATCACAAAATCTTAAAATCAATTATCAAATGAATAATAAAATTAACTGTACGCTCCTCATGTTCCTTATGTATTGAAACTCAATTTAAAAGCCAACCTTATGAATATAATATAGTAACTCAACAGCCCAAATAAATCAATGCTCGGTTTACTTAAAAACCAATCATTCATAATACGATACCTAAATATAGATACGTTTTTTCAAAGATAACCATGCTTAAATATACGTAGTACCTACGTCGAATTCGTAATAAATTTGGACAGCTAAAAATAATTGGTTTACAACCGTAATTTATACGTAATTTAATCAAAAAGTGTAAGGAATAGATTGAATTCAGCTATCATTATAGTTCAAGCTTCATGACAGTTGTAAAGACCACACAAAAAAGGTGTGCAAGTGGGAACGGCTCTGCTGTATAGTATAGGTGTTGAGTGAGTCACAGTACCTATTGGATGTGTTAAATTTAAATTCATTGATAATATATCATTGTACCTACTCGAAAAACGATTCTGAGACGAGACAGCCCAAAATTACCAAGTACCTATATATTATTACATATTATTATTATATTTAAATTGTAACTAGTTATTTATTTTACTATTAGTATTAGTCCATTTAGTTTTTGCCAAATATTAATACATAATTAAACCAAAATTTTAATTAAACATAATTATAATATTAATATTAATTTTTTTGATTTCAGTAACTAAGAATTTATTTGAAGGTATACCTTTTACTACACGTGTAGTAATTATGTGCCATAAAATTTAAAGATTATATAAGTTTAAAAAAATTAGGGAAACATAGGAATATTTTTACCCAAAACCAATTTTAACAAAATAGATTTTATATTTTTGCTGTATTTCAAAAAATAATAAATATTTGAATTTTTCATACATTATAGTCTATAATACGCCTGTCTGAGGTTCAAATCCTTTTTTGACTTAAATAATTAATCTTAAAATAAACCAGATTTCTGTCAATTGTTTTAATAGTTATAGGTTAAAGTTGTTCAATCACGTTTAAAAGCTTAACTTTAGAAATTTTTTTTAAATTCGACTTTTAGCCACTTAGTAAAAGTGCCATCTCTGAGTAGGTATATAAAAATAAAAATGGTCTAAATTTGTAAATTTACCGAAGGTGACGGTGAGTTTTAGTTGTTTTTTTTTATTTGATTAAAGGCTTCAATTACAAAGATTATTAGCCTAGTGTTATTTACAAACTAGAAGTATTTATACAATATTAGGAAAGAGAAAAAAAAACATTATAATTTATCATCTAAACCAATTAGTTTAAACGAATTGAAAATATTGGCGATGTTGGTTTGATTGAGGGCTTCTTCGAGTGATGTAGCATTTTTGAGGAGGTGACGTGCTGATGTGAATTTGGGGCAGTTGATGATTATGTGTTCGATGATTGTAAGGGAGATGTTGCATGAGTCGCACATTGGTCTAGGTTCCTTAGTGATTAAGTAGGAGTGGGTAATATTTTAGTGGCCTATTCTAGCTCTGTTGATTGTTATTAGTTTTAGTATTGTTACACATGGAATTTATATCCATTTCAATATTCCCATTTGCTACTGCGGAAAGGAAAAATCAAAATATTTTGAACGTTACGTGGATTTTATATGTTATAACTTATAATAAAACCTATGTAATCTTGTATGACGTTTGGGCTGCTAATAGCTGTTTTTTTTTAATTTTAAAGGATCATAAGATCCAAATATAATATACAGGGTGCAACAGAAGAACTGACTAATGTAATAACTTTTGTTAAAATCAATATTTTTTTGATTAAAATCATTTGGAACGTAATAACTCTTTTCAAAATACAATTTTAGGAAATTTGCTGACTTGAGTATATTTCTTAAATTATTTACTACTCGTATAATGTTAAAAAATGTTGTCCTGCGTTAAGGTAGCATTTTTTTTTTTTTTTTTGGTCAGGTCTATCTGCTACACCTTGTATATGACAGTAATAAAAACGTATAACAATAATAATACAAATGATGTTATAAACAGATAATAATCACATTTTTGATCCGCAGAGTCGAAACGGATAAAAACCGTGTAAATAAATAAGTTGTCAAAAAATGGTTTCTTTTGCAATCTTGTTGCAATCTCCGATGCTCGTCTATGTCAATTATATATTATAATACGACTCTTATTCCTAGCGGTGCAGAGCTTGGACTGCCGACGACCGATGCGGTCCCCGCAGCCAAACCTTCGCATATAATTTATGTTATATCTTATACACAACATTATACACATTATATATTGTTATTACGTATTATTATTATAAGATTTGACGAACGTTTTGACAACGGAACGTTTTCCGGAACGATTTCGGCCTCGGGCGACTCGACGACCCGTACACTTGTTGTACGGGAGCGCTGCAATGTACTGTTGCCGCCCCTTCACGTACCTACCCGTGTATATATGCATATTATTATAATATTATATAAAATATAAATATTTAATACGTGTTACGATATAATACGCCGCGTTTGCGGGGTACCCTCGTGTCGTGGTCATCACCATCGCCGTCCGAATTAATTGTTGTCGTCCTCTCCTCCCGCGCGTGGAATTTTTATTCAAATATTCCGTCCGTCCGTCCGTCCGTCCGTCCAACTGTCACGGGCGTTTTCTTTATTATTATTATTTTTTAATAAAATAGACGTAATCCCGCTGGAGAGGTTGTCATAAAAAAACAAAAACATCGCGCGTTTACCAATATAATATGTATATGTAGGTATATAATAATAATATACATACCTACGTAATATACCTGCACGGTGAGTGTGTGTGTGTGAGTACGTATAAACTACACACACATTGTCGTCTTGGGTGGCGGTGCACAGCATAACAATATATTTATGTGTGTGTGTGTGTGTGTGTGTGTTTGTAAAATATCTTTACATTATTATTATTATACGCGCGCGCAAATGCGTTTCTCTTCACCGAGGAGGATTAAATGAGATACCGCCGGTCCGGCAACTGGTTTTGGATTATTTCGTATATTACTACGTGTATTGTGTATAATATATTGGGAAAAAAAAACAAATTAAAAAAAAGATAACACAACGACCCAGCGTATGAGCTCAAATACTTATTTTTAATGTCATAGAATTATATTGTGCATAAATATAATAATATTTATTATAATATCATTATTGTATATATAATTAATAATTATTAATTAAGTATATTTATATTATAGTATCCGCGTTCTACCTGTAATATGTTACTACTCATTACTCATTAGTTATTACTTTTACTATACATATCTTGTTTTTATTTTATTTTATAACAATTTATGACTTGCGTTACACACTTTTGTAATTATTATTAATATAAAATACAATTTATACTCTACTATTATATACGCATGATTAAGTGTAAAAATATTTTTATTTGTATAATAATATTATTTCATGAGGTGTACTCGTATAATAATGTTATTAATTCAATAAAAATGCATGTGATTATTCCATAACGATTTTGTATTATATTGTGTTGGTGAGTAAGACGTAAGTGTAGTTAAACAGTGGCATTTTGTGGAGTAATATTAGTATAGAATTATTAGTATTATAAGTTACATAGGTGCTTATAATTTGTCCGACAGTCCTGACTTTTGGATTAACGTATATAGGCGATTCAATCGAAAGACTTTTTTCTTCCCTGTAGACTGTAGTAATGACTAGTTGGTAAGTAATACCTAATACCCTGAAATTCAATATATTATTATAAACAATTTTAATTTAATTATTGTTTTTAAAATGATGCATATAAGTAAACAATAGCTATCATGGTGTCCGCTTTATGTCAATGCCGGAAGGTAATATACTAATACGACGTAGAGCAAATGTCGGACCACCGAAAAGAAAAAAGTAAGAACCGATAATATTATATAATTTATAATTTTTGTTCAATGGTTTTTCACCGATTCTAGCAACTCTAATGGCCCGAGAACAATTTCCAGATTTCCTTCAGAAATATTTTTAGATGACCCCTGAAGTAAAGTAGTATAGTGTACTACGATAATAGTAGTACTATAATACCAGGTGATGAACCTGGTTATTTGTTAAAGATTAACCTTGATTTAAACAATATATATTGTTAATTTTTATTAATTAATAATAGTATAATATGTGTCTAAAAATCGTTTTAAAAAATAACTTTATAATTCACAATTGTTTAGCATAGGTGATACATTTAAATACTAACTAATAATAAACTACACTTCAC